GCTATACATCGAATGGCTTTTAAATTTTTGAAATCGGTCTAGCTGTTTTTGACAAAAACGCCAATTTACGGTGAAAAATCTGTTCACATACACACACATACTTTTTCCAAATTGGTCTCATTGGGTTCAAAATGGCTTGAAACGTGGAGAGAACGTAGAATTAGCGAATCGGATTTTTTATGAAAACATAAACTTCTCCTTCGGGAACTTAATATAAACGTTTATTATACAATTGATTTTGAAACAAATCAAAGATTGAGAACCTGTGGGTTATTCATTGACGAAGAAGCGCACCGACCACTGCACTGGCTGCTGCAAAAACTATTTCAGTTGTCTTCCAGCATTCGAAAGACATTAAACATAAAATTATTCCTTTTTTTTAAATATTAGTGTTACTTTTAATAAAATTATTTACTCAATATCTTAAAATTGTCTGTGATGGCACATGTTTTATAACTGTTTTGAAAATTTCGAGTCACTTCTTATAGTTAAAATTTAATTAAAGTCAGTGTAGTGGTAATAAATAAATTTTGGCATCAAATTAAGTATTGGATATCATGGCGAATAATAATGTGATAAATTTTGGGGCAGGACCCGCCAAACTCCCAGAAGAGGTGAGTGCCATTTATTTTATAATTTTAATAATATTTGCATTTATTTTCATCTTCATTAACAATTTATTATTATTATTATTGTTTTAAATTATTATTTCAATAGCAATCATAACCTTGCAAGTCCTATAAGGTGTTTGTTGAAGACTTAACCTAATGGGTTCATGAGGTAGTTAACAGTTCTGACAACCTTTACCACATGACTTTACCAAGTTATTTTAAATCTAATTACATAATATTACATTATTATTTTAGCATTTTTGTTTTCCAAGCAAAATTTTCGATGAAATTTTCTGTTTTTTATTTTATTACTTACTATCTGCGAAAAATGAAGTATCTGAACATTTTTTATCTAAACTCGCCGACATTAAGCCTCTTATAAAATTAATTTTTTTTCAAAATGCAATTATATTTAGTTCATATTAGATAGTTATGTGTTAATTAAATTTAAGCTTAAGAATGTTATTATCGCTCAAAACTCTTGAGAAAATTACATTAGCATGAAGTGAATGAATGAATCCATCTGAGGATATTTTTCATACGATTAGAAAAACGCATTTAAAATATGTACATTTTGAAACTGAATTGTAAATTTAAAATTTATATTTGAAGTATAAAACTTTGTATATTTTTGAACATTTTGAAATTTTCTTTTTCGGAAAATTTTGAAATTTGCTTGAACCGTATAAGTAAACTTTAAAAATTAAAAATCTTGATACGGAACCCAACAAATGTGTAACGAAAAAATAGTACTCATATGCATTCGTCCTATGTTCATTTTTGACCACCAAATATTTTTTTTTTACTTTTTCCTATGTATCTTCGAAATCGCTGGACCTGCCTTACCAACAATTTCATCAATTATTCATTTCGTCATTACAAGTGAATTGTTTTTTGAATCATTCAAATCGGATTCTCCGTTCTCTTTTTTGCTCCATATCTCCGAAACGACTAAACCTGTCTTCAGCAAAAACTAATCAGCCCGTCTTCTCATCAATAGGAATCGAATGTTTTTTGAACCATTCAAATCGGTTTATATGTGCGCTCGAAATCGTGGGCGAAAAATTGTATCCAAACATACAGGCTTCACTTCATGTATGTGTGTGTATGTGTATGTGAACAGATTTTCGACCTTTCATCGAGATTTTCTCAAAAACGTAATGTATCTCAATGAGTACTATTGATGGTTAGTTTTGCGCAATGGTCGGCCAAGCCATTTTTTTGCGATTGACAGAAAAGTGTAAAAAATTTCGTACACGTTTTCACAAAGGATTTTGATCATTTAGATCATCGTTTGAATCATTTTTGAAAATTCAAAAACGTGCTGATTAGTTTTTGGTACAGATAAGCCCGGCCGTTAGTAATTGATCGTTGACGATTTTATTAAATTTGTGAATGGTGATAAAGTCCATTGTCTGAAAGAGTTTTTACTTACAAAACGTGTTTTTATCACAAAGGGTTGTACTGCCCTAGGGCAGGTCCGTGGGCTAAGTTAAACTGCTACTCGATTCAGGAAAAAATAGTGTAAGAGTTGTCCCATTTTCATTTTACATCGCAATGGGCTTATTTTCAATTGAAAACATACTTTTGATCTATATTTTCAAATGAAAATGGATATCGCTGCTGCCTGATGCAGGTTGCCAGAGTGAGGAGTTTTCACTTTTATACTAGGTTGTTTTTATCATACAAGCCATTAAAGTTTGGAGTGATGGGGAACGTTTTTTGGACAATCACCATGCATGATGTATATTGAAAATCACATTTTTTAGATTTTAATAAAAATCAGTTTATGATAAAATTGAAAGTTTCGTTGCCAGTTATCTGTTGATATAGTTACCAGTACCATTCATTTAATCAAAATAATTTCAATAATTTTGTTTAAATTTAAATAATTTTGTATAACTTTACTTAAATTCTTAGTAATGTTTTGTTATATAATAATGCAAATAATTTGCAATATCACCGATAACAATCTAATCGCAAAATTTCACAATTTGCAAATAAAAGATAACGTTTAAGTTGAAACTAAATCAGGCCATAATCATTGAAGATTTCATCATGTAGTTGTTGAAGTATTTATTGAATTATCAAATACAACTATTTTAATTTTTTTATTTTATAAATTTTATTATTGATATGAATGAGCAATCATATTATTAATTCATGCGTCCCATGTTTTATACCTGTTCTATTTATTTTATATATCAATTTGTTTGATAATTATTTGTAATCAAAATAATTATTATTATTTAATTATATTTCTATGGAACTAACATTAAAATACATTCATACTATATTAAAGTTAAAATAAGTATATATCTAATACACTATAATGATAAATAGTATGCATTAAATCTATTTGATAGCATTGGGGTATAAAAAACTGAAAGTGTGAAAAATCCATATTAAGGACCACCCTAATAATATATATATATATATATATATATATATATATATAATTCTTCTGTACGGGTGTATGATTCGATACTTTTCCTAAACGGTTATTCGGATTTTGATAATTCTTTTTAGAGTTTGTCAAAAAAAATTTAAGATTTAATTTAAGAACTATAGTAATATTATAGAAATAAATGGCAAAAATTATAAAAAACACTTAATATTGTTTGACATTGAGAGCATTTGAACTGTTATGTGATAGAAATCTCAATTCACTTAAAATTGAATTTAACTGAAATTATGAGCCTAGATAGATAGATAGATTAGAATATAATATACAAGAAAAATGTAATATCTATATTATTATTGCCGAAACGCATCTGAGATGTGCCAGAAATTAAAATAATATAAGATACAGTCAACAGTAAATGTTGGTAGATGAAATAGTATAATTTAGTTTAATAAATAATGCAATAAGTCCAAAATTGCATATTCTTTATTTTTTTAATTTTATGTATGTCGCATCTTGGTCTACTTTACTAAATTATTTAACAATACAAAAAAATATTTCTACTTATCTAAAAAAATTATTTAGAAATTTGATTCTTGTGTCAAAAATTCATTTGTTTGGCATTGGATAAGGAGTATTTAGCAAGTTGATCTTAGATTGAAAAGTGCTCATATGGACTAAATTTTAAAATTTACCTAATATTTGAACACAAGCAATAATGTTTATTAAATTATTAGGAAAAACATGCACTTTTGAAATTATAATTGCCAAAAAGCAACTAATATATGGAACGAGATTAAGAAAAGCAATTATGTTGTGTGGTAAATTTAAATGTGATATTGTTTTTTTACCGCAGATACTATATTACTTTTTTCTGAATTTTTTATACTGCTTATGTTAAGACCATAAATGAATCACAAAGGCAGGACATCAAATAGCATATTAAAAAGTATAAAATAAGAAATTAAAAAATTTGATACTTTTGAATTGTAGACGTGGGTACAGGACAACGTCTGTTCGGTCATCTAGTATATATATATTTTTTTTGTTTCTTGTATCTTTGGGTAATAATCTGAAAATTATATTTTTATTATATATTTCAAATTACATTTTTTAAGGTGATGCTTGAAGTGCAAGAGCAATTGGTCCATTATGGGGAAACAAAAATCAGTGTAATGGAAATGAGCCATCGGTCAAAAGACTACATGAAAATCAACGATGATACACAAAATGCAGTTAAAGAATTATTGTGAGCATTATTCAAGTATTAATTACCTAAAACCTAAAATAAAATAATAATTTACATTGGTGTTATTTATATGATCTTGTTGTTCAACAGACAAATACCAGACAATTACAAAATATTATTCCTGCAAGGAGGTGGTACAGGAATGTTTGCAGCCATACCTCTGAATATTTTGAAGACTGGAGTTGCAGATTATGTTGTTACAGGTAAAATAAATAAATTTATGCGGCAATTCTGCCGTAACAGAGCCCTTAACGTAGCGTTGTCATGACAACGCTATGTATGTTGTTCATTGGTGGTGAAAACTATGGAAATGTTTATCTATTTGCTGTGCGATCAGGCATATTTCACATATAATTGCATTTCCGATGGTGCAGTTATCATAACATTCTTTTTTGCTTGTTTATATGTAAAATACGCCTGATTGCACAGCAACAAGCATAGCATAGCGGTACCATGACAACGCTATGTTCTGGGCTCTGTTTTGGCGGAATTGCCTCATTAATTTCAAATCATAGCAATATAGGTTAAAAAGATAGAGTATGAGGAACTATTGGGATATCTTCGCAATATTTTGACTATAATTCGTAATATTTAATTTAAATTCCAGGGTCTTGGTCTGCAAAAGCTGCCAAAGAAGCAGCAAAATATGGTAAAGTCAACATGGTTATTCCAAAAATGCCAAAATATCAAGATATTCCCGACCAATCTACATGGAATTTGGACCCAAATGCAGATTACGTGTATTATTGTGCTAATGAAACTGTAGATGGTAAGGAAATTTCTTTTAACTTTTTTATCTTCCCATAGGGTAAGTTATTGCAATCGTCCCAAAGTCGAGTTTGAAAATTTTGGCATATCTTCACGTTTTGAAGATTTCTGAACATTTCGGCATACCTTAAAAAATGGATGTGTGTGTTTTTTTGTATAGCGAAGAAAATGCCTTTATGCATCCTAGACTGGTCTTTTATGTGGGTACGTTGGACTCAATAGTGACTAGGTATAATACCAAATAAAACCTTCGCCTTTCCCTTGCCTCTGATCCTCACGGTGACCACCGTTTGACTTTACATAGTGGGAGGAGGATCTAGAATGTTATCGTTCTTGCACTGAAATTACGCATATCACTTAAATGAGTGAAGTCCCATTCGTTCTTTCTCTTTCCGAAGTTCGCAGGTAACTAGCAATGTGTGTGTGTGATTTGAATGGTTCAGAAAATATTCGGTTCCTGTTGATAGGGAGTCGTGATAATTAGTTTTTGGCGAAGGCAAGTCCAGCCGTTTTGGAGATACGAAGCAAAAAGTGTTTTAGAGAGAACGGAGCATTCAATTTGAATGATCCAAAAATTGGGAAGAAGTGTTGATTAGATTTTGGCAAGAGCACGTCTAGCCGTTTCGGAGATACGGAGCAAAAAAAGGAATTTTTTTATAATTTTTTGAGTTATAGAAATATAGTCAAATTGTAGAAATAAATGGAAAAAATTACAAAAAACCGCTTATCATTGATTGATATTGAAAATATTTGAGGCATTGTTTGACATTAAAAACAAATGAAGATTGTCATTTTCCAATTATTTCAATTCACGTATAAATGAGCTAAGACACTATTAGAATATTAATGATTATGAATAAGAAAAATGTAATGTCTAAATTATTATTGCCGAAAAGCAGCTGAGATGTGCCAAAAATTAAAATAATATAAGATTTACAGTCAACATGCGTCTGTCAGTGACTGCACATATCAAACTTAGCCTAAAATTCAATTTGACAGATTATTATTTTTTAACTAATGCAGTCGTGTTTTGCCTTACTTTACTAAATCACAATACAAAAAAATTACTTATTCAAAAAATTATTTAGAAGTTTCATTGTGTAAAAAATTCATATTGGATACGGAATATTTACTCAAGCCAATGGATCGTTTTGGGTCTGAATTTTTGTACTGTGCTTTAATTTGTATGAAATTTTGGAATTAGATTCATCTTATTCTCAAGTTCAAAAGTGAAAATTATTTAGAGTCCACGGTGGATGACATGTTTTTCAAAAAACAAATACTTTTTAACTTACTGGCTACTAAAAGTTCGTTTTTTTTGGCGTTTTTCATATATTTCCAAAAATATACATTTTAATGAAAATCATGTGATGAACAAAATTATAATCTTAATAAATCGGTGTTTTATAACGTGTCCTAGGAATAATATTCAGCTAGATATGAAAAAGTAAAGTCGTTTTTTATTTTGTTCGAGATTCAATTGTTGTATTTGAAGCCATCTATCGACGAGGTGTTACATTTAACCCCCCGTCGGTCGGATATTTATTAACTTCCCGTAGGGCAAGTTATAGTAATGGCAGAAAAATCGAAAATGAAAATTTTTATACATCTTTACGTTTTAAAGGTTTCTGAATATTTTGCCATACCTTAAAAAAATGGTATGTGTGTGTGTGCGTGTATGAATGTGTGTGCGGATACAAATTTTCGTCGACGATTTCGGAAACACCGATCAACCGGTTTGAATAATTCAAAAAACATTCGATTCGTATTGATAAGGAGACGTGCTGATTAGTTTTTGGCGAAGGCAGGTCTAACCGTTCCGAAGGTACGGGAAAAAAAGTGCCAAAAATGGTAACTCAGGTTTTAAGAGAATGGAGCGTCCGTTTGTAATAATTCAAAAAACTTTTTACTTGTATTGACAGGATGAAGAATTGATCAAATTTTCAATGGTTTCAGAGATCTAATGCAAAAAGTAAAAAAAAAATGCCATTTGGCGGTCAAAAATGATCATTAGATATATGCACATCAAATTATCAGATATTTTATAGAGATTTTAATAATAAGTATAATTTTTTTTTACATTTCTACGGGTTCCGTACCAATGTTTATCCGAAAAAAGTTCAGAATTTCCAAAATATGTCAAAATGAAGAAAACATTTTTTTTTTCAAAAAAAAATTTTTATCGAAAAAAAAATTTTTTTCAAACAAAAGTTATGTTTTGTCAAATTTATAGTTTCTCAAAAATCTAATTTTTTCGAAGTAATTTTTTTTCAAAAATGGTAATTGTTTTTAAAAAAATAATAATTTATGGTACGGGAAGTTCCAGCAATTTGTCTTAAGGCACGATGCCAAGCGCCCCACTTGTTTACCTTCGAACGGTCGGAGTAGTTTGGCTGGACCATGCATTTTTTCGTCCTGATTTTTTCATTGAAGTCTAGAAATTTCAAGTCAATTTCAAGAAATTTTAAATTGAAGTCGAAAAAAGTCTGACCAGACCACTCCGACCGACGGAGAGTTAATTAAATATTCCGTGGGGTTTTACAGTGCTCAAAGTCAGCTATAAAATGTGTATACTGTTGAGGGTCTGTTTTTTTTTTCATTTAAATCAAGTAGTTTTATGAGTGTCATTTCCACTAAAATTAAAATTAATCGTATTTCATCTAGAATTAAAGTGGTTCAAGAGATTCCAAAATATCATGCAAATAATTAATAATGTATATCGAATTATTATTAAGAAAAATGTAATTTAAAATTATTATTACTGAAAACAATTAATAAATTGTACGATATTATAAAATTTATGTGCAAGATTATTGAAGCAATTATTTTGAGTGAAAATATCCAAGGTGATAAGATATTGTACCTTCACTGCAGATACTATATTTGAAAAATTTGTCATGCTATTTCCATACAAAACTTTTATTGAATTGCGCTCTATCTAAACGTTAATATTAAGAGCTAAAACTTTCAGAGAATTGTTTTTTATCTATTTGGAACCATTTGAGCCCCTGGGAGCATGGAAATTCGAAAATGACCATTTTAAGGACCACCCTAATATATATATATATATATATATATATAATTTTGAAGTATGTGAGTTTGGTGTTGATATATTTTGATGAGTTATTAGAATCGGGCAGTAACACTAAGTAACAAAAAAAAAAAAAATTACTTGGTGTTACTGCCCGATTCTAAATAACTCATCAATATATATATATATATATATATATATATATATATACATATTTAAAAAATATGTAAATAGGTATAATAAGGTAATATAGGTATAATAATATATATATATATATATTATATATATATATATATATACATCTTACATATTTTGATGATTTTTTAACTATAATCCAGTAATTAAGACATTAAACTATTTACAAAATTAGTTATCAATAAATTTATACTTATTTTATTAACAAATTTTACATTAATTAAATAATATCAGATTTAATTATCTTAATATCAAACATAACAATATGAACAATCCTATTTGGAGTTCCTACTCATTCAGTGATGATTCATCGACTTTCATTCCCATTTCTGGTATGAAATGCCATGTGTTTCTTCAAAAGGTTCAATCGAGTAAATCCCTTATCCCATATTTCACATTTGTAATGTTGGATGCTCACTGTCATGAATCAGCATGTGTCTTTCCAGATGATCTACCTGTGCAAATGTCATCTTGCATATATTGCATTCATGAGCGCATTCTTCTCTTTTGTGTATTTTCATGTGCTTTCTCAGAGTACCTGCTCGTGTGAATGTCTTATTGCATATACCACATTCATGCGGTCGTACTCCACTGTGAACAAGCTTGTGGCTCTTCAGAGTACTTAATAGTGTGAATGTTTTATTGCATATGCTGCATTCATAGGGGCATAGTCCATTATGCATGCGCATGATGTGACGTTTCAGATCACTTGATTTTGTGTATGTATTATGCATATGCCGCATTCATGAGGACGTACTTCACTGTGAAAGAGCATGTGATTTTTCAGATGAGGTAATTGTCTGTATGTCTTATGGCATATATAGCATTCATGGGAGGGTGCTCTTTTGTGCGTAAGCATGTGCCTTTTCAGATTACCTGATAGTGTGAATACTTTATCGCATATTTCACATTTTAAGGAACGTTTACCAAGATGTGTACATGTGTGTGATTCCAATCCTTCTAATAGTTCAAAAGTCTTAGAACAGTTTTCACATTTAAAAGGGCTTTCTTTGCTATTACTAGGCTGGTGATCGACCATATGCTCTTTCAAATGATGTAATTCTGCAAATGATCGATTACAAATGTCACATTCATAAGTTGATGTCTCGATCAAATCCTGTTTGAGTTCTTCTTCTTCTATAGTGACTTCGGAATTCACAAATCTTTCTGAACAAGTTTCATCATCCTCAGTACATGATTCAGATTTAACAATAGCATCAGCATCATCAAAATCACCCTCAATTTCGTATTTAATTTCATATACTGAATATTCTGGCGGTTCAATTTTAATTGCCTGATCATTCATAGACATAACTGTTTCTTTTGACATCGTTAATTAATTCATTGAAAGTCGTGTTTTACTTAGAATCCAGTTGAATCAACTATTTTGTTCGTTATGATAAAGATTTCAACTAAATATGCATTTATTATTTGACATTTGAAGCATAGAGTATGCTTGTCGAAAGATGAGACACTTATCAAATCGCATTGACATTTAACAATTGGCGCGCTTTTTCAAATTGATTAACGATCTCTACTTGTTAACTGTCAACTCTTCTTTTATCTATGCTGTCAACCAATGTTTTTATTATAATTTAAATGAATAAAAAAAAATCAATCAAAAATCTAGCTTTAAATAACATTTTGTCTTAAAGGGGGGGCTTGCTTTAGAGGTTTCAAAAAATCGCTTTTTTTGAGGAATTTTTAAGAAGGAAATTAATATTTTTTGAAACAAAACTTTCATATTTTATTGTTACATATTTCAACATTCTTCTCAAATTTTTTCGTTAAAATATACAGTAGGCCCTCGCTTTACACGGCACTCTGGATACACGGTTCCCATACTACACGGAGCTAAAAATCCGACATCCCTCCGATTACACGGACTTCTTATTACACGGTATTTGGTCAACAGCCCATAAGTTCGTTGTGCAAAAGGGTATTGATGTAAATTTTGTTATTGACTTTTATCTTTTAGATATGCCTGTTTATATAATAGCCGCCTAAGAACACGTTTGAGCTGACTACTGCGTCGCGCCAATTTTTGAATAAGGTGTCAATCGTGTCAATGCCCTACATGTCATTTCGTCCGTATTACTCCTACTTCAAGTGGTATTTCTTGGTCTCCATACAGCGCGATAAAAATGGTGCGATTTGTACCAACTGTGAGTCTCTCATAGCACGGATCCCATACTGCACTATGTAAGGTTCCATACAACGCACTACGAATTAGCCTGAATTGTATGTTAAATACGAGTTTCTTATAGCACGGTTCCCATACTGCACGGTACGCACTTGCCGCGTAAAGCGAGGGTTTACTGTATTTCATAATATGCCGGGTACAAGCATTTAGCCGATGTGTCACGAGCGTGCAGGTGTCATTTGGCGGGAAAGATGAAGGTCACAATTTCCATCCAAAACAAAAACAAGTGTGGTGTATGCATGGTTTATGGCATCGTGCCTTAAGGCAAATTGCTGGAACTTCCCGTACCGTAATTAAAAATCTTGGTACGGAACCCATAGAAATTTACACAGAATGTACAATGTGTTGTACATAAAATCTTCATAAAATATCTAATAATTTGATGTACATGTGTCCAATAAACATTTTGGTCCGCCAAATGATATTTTTTTAACTTATTTTTATTGAGAGTCCATAACCGCTGGACCTGCCTTCTAAAAAATTTGAACAATTCATCTTGTCAATACAAGTAAAATGTTTTTTGAATCATTAAAATCCGACGCTCCGTTCTCTTAAAAACTGTGTTACTGTTTTTGGCATTTTTTGCCCCGTATCTTTGGAACGGCTAGAACTGCCTTTTCCAAAAACTAATCAGCACGTCTCCTTATCAATACCAATCGAATGTTTTTTGAATTATTCAAATCGGTTGATCGGTGTTTTCGAAATCGTCGTCAAAAATTTGTATCCGCACACACACATATACACACACACATATACGCACACACATACATCCATTTTTTCTAAGGTATGCCAAAATGTTCAGAAACCTCTGAAACGTAAAGAAATATGAAAATTTTCTTTTTCGATTTTTTTTTGCGATTACTATAACTTGCCCTACGGGAAGTAAATAGTTTCTAATCAATAAACTTACGTTTAGAACAAATGTTTAATTTGTTTTGTTGTTTTCAAGGAACAGGGTAAAATATTCTTCTGATTCGTCATTTTTCATTAAATCAACATTTTGTACTACGATGTAACTTTAAAATGTTTATTTATCTATGTCGATTTTCTTATTGATATCGGAATTTTCGGATCGGAACGTTGACGCCGGTCCGGTACGCATACGACAGATTTCTATTCACATACACAACTAATCGCAATCGACCCGTATAGACAAATCATCGAGAGCGAATGATGAATGATTGGCACTTGACTCTTATCTTATCGACTCTTATCTGCCGTAACTCACTTCCGTTGCATTTGTACGGTTTTACACCCTAGTCGCGCCTAAAGAAGTTTTACTTCAAAAATCTCTTTTTTAAGCCTCTAAAGCAGGCTTCCCCTTAAGTCAAGTTGAATGAAATTTTCAATAGGACACAATTAACATAAATAAAAACAAATGAGATTCGGCTTTTCAGATAAAATAGCATTTTTGCTTCCATTATGTAAATGTATAAATTAATCTAGTGGTGCTTGACATCGTGTCTTAAGGCAAATTGCTGGTACTTCCTGTACCGAAAATTAATATTTTTAAGAATAATTCTAATTTTTTTTTAAACTTTGAAAAACTTATTATTAACAGACAAAATATCAATGCGCGGAACTTATTTGTTCTTATTTTTAAATATCCATAGAATATCTGATAATTTGATGTGCATATGTTTAATGATCATTTTTGTCCACCAACTGGCATTTTAATTTTTAAAAAATTATCAGTTCTTTATTTTGTCAATACAAATAGTGTTTTTTGAATCAATCAAATCGGACATTCCGTTCTCTCAGCAATTGAATTAGCATTTTTGGCACTTTTTGCGCCGCATCTTCGGAACGGTTGGACTTGCTTTTGCCAAAAATGAAATAATCCATACTGTAATAAAACAAATTGTATATATTATTAAATTCTTAGACTAATGATTTGATATTGACTAATGATTTTGTATCAAATCCGATTTCTTTTAAATGACGATTAATAAAAATGTAATTTAGGTTTAATAAATCCATTTTATTAAAGGCAAATTGTCGTTTTGGAATGAATCTAATCAAAATGTCCCTAGATCTAATTTTATTAAATCACTTTTAAATTTTTAAAATCAGTGCAGCGGTTTTTGAGAAATCGTCGACCAAAAATTAAAATTTTGACTCACTTTTTCCAATTTTGGTCTCAAACGATTCAGAATGACTTGAAACGTGGGGAAAATATAAAAACTCATTAATCAGATTCATTTAGTTGCAAAATAAGATAAATTAAATTTTTTCTAGCAAAGATTTTTTGATGAAGAAACATCATCATTATGTTACATATTAGCTATCTTATAGAACAAAATCCGGATTATATTTAATATTTTATTCTATAAAATATCTTACAGAAGAATTTTTTTAATCTTATTAGCACATCTTATAGAATTAAATGGCGATTGTATTTAATATTTTATAAAACTTAATTTAATATTTTCAGGTGTTGAATTTCCATTCATTCCTGATACTAAAGGAGTTCCACTAGTCTGCGATATGTCTTCAAATATTCTTTCACGTCCATTTGATATCACAAAAGTAAGTAAATAGTTTTATAAAAGAATTCAAATGATACATAAAACTGCTATATAATTTATTTTTTTAAAAGATATTTTCATGTAATTTTTAGACTTAGACCATCTTCGACAAGGTTGTAATGGCACAAAGTAACTTTAGTTTTTATTATTTCAAATTGGAATTTATTCTTGTGTCAATTTAGTTTGGTTAATTATTCATTCTTATATTGTTATGTTTCTAAGTTTACTCACAAGAATAATTTTGGAAATTTTATTTCTTTCAGTATGGTATAGTATACGCTGGAGCCCAGAAAAATATTGGACCTGCAGGAATAACTTTGGTTATTGTTCGTGAAGATTTATTAGGAAGACCAAGTCCTCAATGTCCTTCAGTATTTGATTTCACGATAATGGCTAAAGAAAAGTCGATCTACAACACGCCTCCAACATTCATGTAAGAAATTATATACTTGATGATGATGCCGAAAAATTTAAGATTAATATGCAGAAAATTATTATTCTTAGTTTTTCAACAGGTTTTTTGAATTTTATTTTATATAAAACCCTATTTTTTTTCTTCAGTATTTATGTAATGGGCAGAGTCTTCGAATGGATCAAACGCCATGGAGGTGTCGAAGGAATGCAGAAGAATGCTGCCACCAAATCCAGGATGCTATACGATTTAATAGATAGTTCTGATGGTTTTTATAGTTGTCCAGTAAAACCACATGTTCGCAGCAGGATGAATGTACCGTTTAGAGTTGGTGGAGCTGGTGGAGATGAAGCTCTGGAAGAAATTTTCTTGAAAGGCGCCCAACAGAAGGGAATGCTTCAATTGAAAGGACACAGGTTGGTAAAAAGATTATTAAATGTGCCCAATTATTCTAACTTGAAATCTACTAAAATTATATATACTAAGATCATTTTTGATTTGCGTAGTTGACATTAGTTTCCAAAACTATTACTGCTTATTTTCTTTTTCAAGAAATAATAACTATGCACAATAATGAATTAAATATTATTATGTATTGGGTTGACAAAATCTCAGACAATTTTCACATGTAACTAAATATATTTATCCTGTAAGATTTTGCCCATTTGAAACAGAAATCTTTGGCCACTTTGTAGACATCAAACCAGCAAATTAAATCAGATATCCTCGATTTGATATCCTCATCATTATTAAAAAAAATTCCATTCAAAGAGTTTTATAAAGATTGAAACAAGAAATAATCAGTTGGTGAAAGTTCACAATTTTTTAGTGGATGTGACAAAACATATCAACCAACTCTAAATAAGTTTTTCCAAGTTGCCAAAAATGTGTGGCGTTATGTTGTCATGATGGATTAAACTCCTTTCCGATTTGTCAATTCGAAATACCTTTAACTGCTTATTTTAACTTCTGGTAGCGTAGGTTATAGTAATCGCAAAAAAATCTAAAATGAAAATTTTTATATATCTTTACGTTTCAAAGGTTTCAAAACATTTTGGCATACCTTAGAAAAATGGATGAATGTGTGTGTGAGGATACAATTTTTCCTACACGATTTCGGGCGCGCGAATCATTCGATTTGAATGGTTCAAATCGATTCCTATTGACAGAGATGTCCTGATTCAGTTTTTCAGAGAACGGAGTACTCAATTTGAATGATTCTAAAAACATTTTACTTGTAGTGACGAAATGAATAATTGATGAAATTTCTGATTAGGCAGGTTTAGCAGTTTCAGAGATACAAAGAAAAAAGGAAAAAAAATATATTTGTTGGTCAAAAATGAACATTAAACGTATGCACATCAAATTATCAGATATTTGAAGTTTTTAAAAATAAGTCCTAATTTTTTTTGTTACAACTTTGTTGGGTTCCATACTATAATTTTTAATTTTGAAAGTTTACTTATACGGTTGAAGCAAATTTCAAAATTTTTCGAAAAAACAAAATTTCAAAATTCATTATTGTAATTTGTGTAAAGAACTAGATCAATACATAAACAAATTAAATTGATGTACTATAGAAATAAATCAAAATAATATATTCTAATAATTTATTTAGTGATATATATTATATTCTTGTAAGTACACTATGTAAGTGTTCCTATACCTTATCTTATTTTTTTTATAAATATAATTTTTTGACACAATTTATTTTCCTTTCAGGTTGGTTGGCGGCATTCGAGCATCTATTTATAATGCAGTAACCGTAGAAAATGTCAGATGTCTTACTGAATATATGAAAGAGTTTATGAAAACGCACAAAAAATGAATATTCAAAATTGATAATTATTCAAAAAAAACTTCAAGACTCAATAAGATCATCACTATACTGACAATAAGTTTAGTTATATAATAATATATAAGCATTCCATAACTTGTAGTGCAATATTGAAATAAATAAAGTTTGTAAATAAAACCTTTATTTAGGGAATAAAAATTATAAAGTGAATATTTGTACACTAATTCCAAATTTTTTCTAGGGCAATGTTCCTGAAAAATTTGATATTCAGGAAGTTAATATAATTTTTATTCATTTTAACAGCATCAGAACTTAAGGATCTTCTAGGCTGTTGGGATAAATAGCAACCCAACAATTGGCCCCTCTATTTGATGAATTTAATAATACAATTTCTGAAATACGGAATAATTTTTGTCTTGATGCAGTAACCCCGGACTATTTTCCCATATTGCCATCTCCAAGTTAAAACCGATGTCACTACTGCTTGACATCAGACTGTCCGAGGCCTGGAATCTTGATAGAAACTACTTATTGGAATTTCTACCTACTAAGCCACGGTGCAGCCAATAAAGAAGATTAATTCGAGATTTTGCATAGAATATATTTATTAAAACTTTTTTTATTTTTTCAGTTTTTCCAAAATTGAAAAATCAGATTTTTCAAAACTGGCTAAGCACATTTTTAATGTGTTGTAGTGATTGATTCAATTGTGATGATTTTTCATTAGATTTCTTTTGTTTTTTATATCATAATATAGGGTGCTTTTATTTGGCTTGAACATACTCCCGGCCTTGAAATATATGACCTTTTTTTCAAAAGCAATTAAGATGAGTTCTCGTTAATAACTTTTTTTTTTATTATTGTAAACTTCGCATTTAGATTTGCAAGTAAAAGAATAAAATTTGCATTTGACTTTTTAATATTTTCTTGACTTGAAAAAATTGTTTTTTAAAAAAATTATTTGATCTAATAATCCGCAAAAATAGATGGAAGATATAGAAGTAATGAAGTGAAATAAATGCCATTTATATTAACGTTTTTATTCTTCAATTACAAAACTCCTCTTTTCTGTAAAATAATATCAATTTGTCTTTCTAATTCAGCATTAGTTCCTCTCAGACCCTTGATGACTTTGGCTGCCCATTCGAAATATTCATCACAATCTTCTTCAGTCCAACCGACAGGTATAGTTGTGTCCAAATCTCTTAAATTGTATAATTTATCAGCCAGTTTTAGGAGTTTTGCTGCAAAACTGCTATTTGGAGCTCTCTCGATTTGCAGACGTTTGCGTTCCGGTTTAGGAAGACTCATGTCGTCTGATACCTAAATGGGTAAGATAAAAGATGATTCTAGGAATTGTTAGGATAGTACTAGATATTAAATTATTTGTATTTACAGACTTAACAAGATTTTTACTGAATCATCTACTAGATGACCCGACCCGACGTTGCCCTGCACCCACGCCTATAATTTTTTAATATCCTATACTAATATTTACCGTTTACCTAGAAATAATAATTATTGTTTTTTAAATTACTCTTCACACCAAAATGGATAAACATCAATATGAGCGATGTTAAATGTAGAACTGCTTTAAATAAAATGATGAGTCTCAATTCCTACACTATATAGGAAATTGAAGTCTTTTAAATTAAATAATATTTGGCTTTTGAAACATTTTACTTATTTATTCTGAGCATTTTATTTCATTGAGTAAATGATATAGAGAGCAAAAAAATTCTAGCCTTTTATTATTAAATATAACCATAACATAACACTGGTACTTCAAGTTGGATTATTTCAATTTAATTTTTTATTATTTAAGATATCCAAAATTGCATCTTAAATTTTTTCTAATGATATCGTAAGGGCCAAATTGTATGTATTCATCTTTACTTTCCCATTTGTTGTTTTACAGTAAAATTTTTTACCGAATTTGAAAAATATTGTGCAAAGGTTAATAAAAGATGCAAATAAATTATATAATTCTTAAATGATATTGAACAAAACTATACTGAAAATTTCATATCCGAATCTTGTGTCTAGGACGGCCCTGATTATTACTTAATTTCATATTTTAAGTGGACTATCAACTAATTTGTCAAATCCTGTTCATATGTGTATCATTCAATCTGCCATACTTAAACTGTATCTTATATTATTTTAATTTCTGGCACATCTCAGCTGCTTTTTGGCAATAATAATGCAGACATTTCATTTTTCTTATTCATAATCATGAATTATTCATTACACATATTCTAATATTGTCTAGGCTCATAAGTAAATTGAAATTTTTGGCAGATGACAGTTTTCATTTGCTTTCAATGCCAAACAATTTCTCAAATATTTTCAATGGCTTGTTGTTTTTTGCAATTTTTTCCATTTATTTCTACAATGTCACTATATTCGTATAGTCACATACATACTAAAAAATTTCTTTAACAAACTTCAGAAAGATTTATCAAAAACCGCATAATCGTTCAGTAGGAGTATTTTATATATAAGATTTGTAAACTTGAACACTTTTTTATATGAGACCATGTTTAATTTTAGGCACCACGGAGCTTCTAGATATCAAAAACGCTGATTGGGTCAAAATTGAGGAGCAAAATCAAAACTGTTTTGGGACTATTTACTATCAATGAAAGAATGAAATTTAATAACACTGTTTGAACATCACAAATGGGTAAAACTTTTATCACTATGGATTTCTCAAAAAAAATGCATTCAGGTATGTATATGTAGAATATAATTATATTGGACGCAATATTAGTCGGCGTACTATTAGACAATAATTTATATTGGCAGTATTATTAAATAATTATCTCTAATCAATATAAATATTGTACATAACCTCCTCGACGAGATCACGCACAAATTTTCCAAAATACGATTCGATTTCTTCGAAAGACGTATTAGTGGTTTCAACAGTGTCGTGCAGAAAAGCTGCCATCAACAGCCTTTGACATCTTACACCAGCCTCATTGCTTAGAATATATGCAGTCCCTTGGTGAATTTATAATAAAAATCAGGGTAATTTAGATCATTGATTAGAGAAAATATAAAATGAGAAAAAAACGCAAACTAAAGAACTTGGTAAGCCCAACTAAAATAAACTAGTTCCATGAGTAAACCTTCACTACATGGACTGCTAGTCCTCGTTTAGCTAGTCTTGTCGTTTGTCAGATTTGTGCGACGATATGCCAAGCCGTTTTTTTGTAATTCGGAAAAAAGTGTTAAACTTTTCGTCCACATTTAAGCTCATTCTACCGAATCTATTTTAAAAAATCAAAAACTGTTCGAAAGATATTAGTTGGGAATGATACTGGTTAGTTTTTGGTAAAAATCTACCGAGTCGTTTTCTTGTAATTAACTGTTGAAAAAAAATTTAAGCCAATTTTTATTGAACTTTTTTTTGGCGATATATATCAAGTTATTGTAGTACTTACCGAAATCTTACGGCCTTACGATAAGTAGTTTAATTTTAAAAAAATCATCAAAGTTTGAGAAAATGAGTAATTTTTTTGACGTTGAAATAATGACGTTACTAAGTGAACGAGAGTTGCCGATAATCGTGGAACACTCCCGAATGATTAAATGTCATATGCATTGACCTTATAATATATGAACCGATTTTAGCAGGCGAATTCGATTTCATGTACGTTTATTTCACAGGGTCAATATTACCAATATCAAAATTATTACAAAATTATCAGACCACAAAATTGTCATTACATTATTGTAATAAAACTATCACAAATAATATTTGAATTAAATTAACTATTTACTGTACAATATGCAATGAAATGTAATGTATAATAAATTATAATCTATAATATCCACTATTGTTCATGCAAATCGAGCATATAATATATTGCACTAGCATGTAATTTTGTTATATTTTTGAAAATATATTATTTAAATTATTATAAGGTGTAGAATTATCTTTCTATTTGATTTTTTAACAATTGCAAGCATAAGATTAACTTCTAGGTTAAGCACGTGACATATAACATGTAATCAATCGGGAGTGTTCCACGATTGTCGGCAACGCTCGTTCACTGAGTGACGTCACAGTCTCCTTCTATCTTTTGTAGATACTTTATAAAATGGAAAACATACGAGGACTAGCAGTTCATTATGGACCTTATACTACAAATCTATAGTCTAAGTAGTATAATAAATCTAAATTATATGAAAATTTGCTGATGAAAAATAAGTTACGATATCAAAGAAAATTCTATTACCAATGACGTGATTCACATAAGGGGTACTTGCTGCATCCATTCGTCTGTGATCTTTGTGTTTCTTGGCAGCAAAATTCAAACATTTTGTATACAGTTTTATATCAGAATGTGACATTTTGAATTAGGAAGAAAAACAAATGACAGATAATCAGTTTTTTCTTTTTTTATTTTTTATTTTTTTATTTTTAATAGTAATCAGAATACACGACAATTCTATGAGCTATTTGGCTTATGTCATTCACTCGCACACATATGTACACACACTTTCAAACACATATAATTTGATAAATATTAAATTCAATAAGTGATTCTACTATTCTGTTTATATAAAGTTGTGGTAGTTCTAAGGGTACTCCATATTATCTTTGGGCAGCTTCTTCTTCAGGCTTCTTGGCGTTGGTGTCTCAAGAGTAGTTTGTATGATGTTCTAGTTTAGGAAAATGTTCGACACTGTTTATTTGTATAATGCTGTTTATAAATTCAATATGAAGATTGTTGTGTAAGGTTTTATTGCTAACAAACCACGGAGCATCAGTAATCTACCTTAATATTTTCGATTGGGCACATTGCATTAGCACTATGTTGGATGTGCTTCGCATATGCGAAATTCAGTGAGTAATTTATAAGAATACCGATTTACTGTAGTAGAGCATCATGATATGAGAAACTATGGCAATTTATTCAATTTTGTACAAATTTTCCAAACATTTTAGTTTTTATAGATATATGCTTTAGATATTAGACCTGGAGTATGTTCTAAAGATGCGACTTTAGCCGATTAATCCAATCTTTAATTGATCTCTATAATTGAAGCACTTTCTAGGTTTGAACTAACGGCATACA